ATATGCACTACTTCACATCACTGATGCTCAGAGAAGAGTCAAAGTCAACTGTTGGATCCCAAAAAAGAAAGATAGTTTTATTATGCTAGCCATGCATGTGAAACTGGCTATCCTCTTCCATTTCACTTAAAATAGCCTATGAAACTTATGGTATAATTATGTGTTACTGTTATTTCTTTGACTAGCTTGTCAACATAGCTGTTATTATTATTATTACCATTATTAGTTTTTTACTGAGAACCTTAATTTAAGACTCATTCATTTATATTAATTAATAAGTGTTTGTTAGATGGTCTTTAAGGTGGACCTAATGCAATTGTGATACTTTTATTACCGTGAAGGAGACTGAGAGAATGTAACTTGCCTGAGGTAGTGCTACATAAGAACCTAGGTCACATTAAGCATAGCTGTAAAGTATTTAATGTATGCTGATTTTAGAATAATTTTGTCCACTAATGTGATAGAATTGGAATCAAAATACAAAAGTAGTTTTCTCTTCTCATTTTTTTTCATATAAGCATAGGTATCCTGCAGGACAGGTGACTTCTCTGGTACACCCAAGGGACAGTAAATCATTATTGAAAAAAATATTAGGATTGTAATCAAAAGAAAGAAGGTTTCCCCACTTAGAGGTAAAAACACTGAATAATAAATGATGCTGAGATAAAATCGTCATTGGGTCCCAGCTAAAGTGACTATTTAGGTCATTAGGATTATGACTAAATTATATTTATGCCTGATACAGTTTATGCTGAATCTGATAATACAATTAGGATTCTGTCTGAGAAGCTATTCTAGGAGAACATTCCAAAGTAAAAAAAACTGTTATGATTCTCAGCAGAGGGAAATGCCAGTGTTACAGGAATCATATTAATAATCTGGAAATCTGGGAAAGACATATGTATGGACATGATTTTTAGCTACTTTAACATGATCAGTTGTATTGCTTCATCTTCCTAAAATATTTCCTCTATATTTGACTTCAACTTCCAATGCAATTAATGTTCATTTATTTCTGCTTTCTTATGATCAGGTTGTTAAATAATGCCTAGTTCTGATAATCCTTGTAATGTTTATGTAACCAGCAATCAAAAAATAGTGTGGGATTTTTACCCTCTTCATCCTGTTTCAGTTCATTTACAGCTCCTATCAGCTTTTTAATTTGACATCTCATAAAGAAATAAAAGTCTTTATTCAGTTTCATTTACATTGCATGTAAATGGAACTTTCCTCAGCTCCCATGTTATTTTTCCTATTAAATCAATGATGAGGAAAGGAATTTATTTGTCTGGTAATTTAGTTTAGCTATACTGTTGTCTGGGGTTTTTATATGCAATACACACTATTTTATATCAAAGCTATAGCTCTCTATAGTTGGATAATGCTACAGCAATCTGTGTATCTGCAAAATGTTTCTCCTATCCTTTCCCTTATTTTTTGAGATTTGCAACAGTGGTGTTGAATATTTGGGAAGGGTCACGGGTTAGATTTCCCAGGAAACAGATTCTCAGACACAGATTTGCAGGAAGTTTATTGTACATAATAGGAGATCAAAAGAAGTACAACTGAGTAGAAAGGTGTGCAGTCATAAAAAGGCCTCAGCTGATAGCACAGGGAGCTCCTTTGCTTGGATGCCTCTTTAGAGTTGTCTTTAATCAAGGAAAGCAAGACAAGCTTTTATGTTCTATTAGTCCATTCTCATATTGCTATGAAGACCTACCTGAGTCTGGATAGTTTATAAAGAAAAGAGGCTTCATTGACTCACCATTCCACAGGCTGTACAGGAGGCATGACTGGGGAGGCTTCAGGAAATTTATAATCATGGTAGAGGTGAAGGTGAAGCAAGCACATCTTCACATGGAGACAGGAGAGAGAGAGTGAAAGGAGAAACTTTTAAACAACCAGATCTTGTGAGAACTCACGCACTGTCATGAGAACAGCAAGGGAGAAATCCACCCCCATGATCCAATCACCTCCCACCACCTCCTTCCCCCAACATTGGGAATTATAATTCAACATGAGATTTGGTTGGGGATAAAGTCAAGCCATATCAATACGCTACTGTAACCAGTCATTATTCCTGGGCTGCTCCCAGGAAGAGAACTTGACTCTGGACGAACTGCTTTCTTCATCTGAGAATGATGACCTGAGAGGAACTCAGGAGAGAATTGTCAGCTGCCAACACTCCCGAAAAGCTGGGAAAATGAGTGTTTCAGGCCTGGGGTGCAGCAGGTAACCTGCATGGCTCACCAAGGCATACACTACCATCCATTGCTTGCCCTTTGCAGTTCTACATGTATCACATAAGTTCTTAGAGAGCTCCTTCAGGATTTTTGTGTGCCACTTTTCCTGGAGAAGTATATAATAGGAGAAAATGGTGAGATAAATCACAGACTTTCTATTCTCACTTTACTGCAGCTTTTTCTGAGGCTGCAAGTGATATTCTTTGTCTCCCTCCTATATCAACCACTAGACATTCCCCTGACCCTTTCTGTAAGCTGTGCTGACTTAGATGCCTTAACTATAAGGATGGTCCAGAGTTTTATATCTATTAGATTTGAGTCACTAGTCACCATGATCTGCTCAGACCAGGGCTGTTGTATTTTCTGTTTTTTTGTTAAAAATTGGGCTAGCATCACAACAGGGGCTCTCATCTAATTGCCAAACATATTCTTCTTTATCCCCACTTATTTGGCCTGCCTACTCCTGATGGTCAGTCTATTATCCCTCCCAGAATGGTGACTCTTTCATTTTGTCTGGTGGTCTCTTGGCATGAGGATTTGGACCTATAAACAAACCACATAATTCAGAGTCCATGGGATGTTTAAGCAAAAATAAGTAGATTACTAGATGTGTTGGTGAGTGGAGCCATTTCTATGTCTATGTTTTTGTTTCTGGACTTGTTTATTCTGCCTTACAAGGACATGAAGGCAAATTATTGGTCACTGGTTTAGGGTATTATTTTGTTTTAGTTCATGGTTTTCTGTCCTTTCAGGATCTCATCTCCAAGACGGTGCTTCAGTTGTATCTTCTGTAGAATGTCTCATTGTTTTATCAGGCCAGCAGCTTCTGGTCGGTGCTGTATGGATGGAGTCAGCGGTTATGTGGCTACCACCACATGGCTTTTGCGATAGACTGCTTTTTGTGCAATACTGTATAGGATCCTGTGCAGTGGATCAAATACCCTTTAAACCCAGGGAGAGTGATGCTTACTGAGGCCCTAATAGCACATTAGGCCAAACTTTACCTTGAATATGTGTGTGTAAATTCTAGTAAAGATGAATCACTGTCTCTTCCAGTCTGGAATAGTCCAACGTAAGCAACCAGCCACCAAACTTCTTGTTGAACCCCTCAAAAAATGGTGCCATGGGTAGAACTGAGCTTAAGTCTTTGTTGTTTGCAAGTTGGACATTTTTTAGCAGCAGTAGCTTGATTAACTTTGTGGAGTGGACCCCAGGCTGTTAGCCTTTATCTGTCACTGTGCTACTTTCTCCATTAATGGCCAATGACAAAGGCTACTAGCATCAACTAGCTGACTGCTGCAAAGTTCTTTGTACCCATGCCTACAGATTTCTCCACATGGCTTTGCCTCTGACCTTTTTAGCTCTGATTTATCAATGTTTCTTCTTCTAAGCACCTGACTAAGCAACTAGGTTATTTGATACTCCCTTAGGGTTGATGACAATTCTATTTCAAACTACTTTTCTTTCCGTACAAAGTGGATTACTGAGAGAACCACATACAGTTCTTCCCATTAAGATTGATCTGAACCAAATTTTATCCTTAAACCAATTTTGACTTTTCTCTCCTCCATCAGCTGGTTATAAAATCCCCCATTAGGCTATAGCTATGAACTGAGGGAAAAGCTGGTTCAAGAGAGTCAGAAAACATGGGGGTCTGGACCACTTGCTCATCTTACTTATGTCTGCATAACCCTTTTATTGCCTCTAGTCATGCCTAATCTATTATTTCCATTGTACTGTGACTTGGTGTGTCTGATAGAATACAACTTTTAATGGAAAATTCTGGCTAACTGGTATCTCTCTTTTTTAATGGGTTCAATAGCTCACAAGGACCTATTTTTCGAAAATGTTTATTATTCTTCACTATAGATAATCCTGAATGCTATGGGTCTATGTTGTGATTATTCTATGGGTACTTCCCATGAACCCATAGCTGTGTCCTTTCTAGCTATATGTTCCACAGGTTAGACCTGATGCAGACATCTTTTCTGCTCTGGGTCCTACTTAAAGCTGGAAGCCTTTTACATTACTTAGAATATGGGTTGAAGAAGTATTCCCAAATACTTCTTTTAAATGTTCTCATATTTAAGGTGAAATACTGTTCACCTTAATATTGTGCAATGCTAGTTTTAAAAGCAAATATGAGAACATTTAATTCATATGAGGAATTGCCAAAATGACATAATTCTTATTTTCTAACTCATGCATGTATATATACCTCACTCTTTTCAGAAATGGAGATGCTCCATAAAACCCAACCATTTTAATTTTACTTGTTGATATGCACACATTCTACCAACAGTTTCTACCTTCAGGTTACTATGAGTCAGGAATGTCTAAAGGAAAGGACGTAAGTTGCTCTCTTTTCTTCTACATTATTATTTTCAGCATAAGTGGTTGATGAATGCAGGCAAATAACAAGAGTAAGGAAGGAGATAAAAGGGCTCCCTGGACATTGTTTTTCTTAGAATGTAACTGCCTTCCTTCTGTGTTTAAAGCAAGTTTTGATTCAACTGGAAAATGTGGCCTTCAGGACCACATTATGTAGTCATAAGTGCAACACACTTGTTCTCACTCGGAGTCTCAATGAATTCCCATGCTTCCTTGACCCACTGAATTTCCGTGCTCCTGGGGTGATACTATGTGCAAATGGAATGACAAGAATCGGAAAGCACACAGATGGTACCTACTCAATCTCCTCTGCTTGCATACATAGTCTTTGTTAAATCAGACATATAAAACACAGAATCAGTTGCAGCTTTCCTTGCATCATTGCTGGGATGAAGCTGGTCCTACTGTAGGGCCATGAGTGGTTCATTAGGCAGATGAAGTATAACTGTGAAGGAGACCTCCTCTTTACCGCGACCAAGGAACCTATCGTTAATGCATGGTACTCTGTGAATGGTGAGAGGCTGGGCATCTACCTGGGCCATACCAGAGCTGTGTGGTATGTAGATGCTGACTGGGACACCAAGCATGTCCTCGTCCATTCAGCTGACAATAGCTGTCATCTCTGGGCCTGTGAAACAGGGAAACAGCTGGCCCTACTCAAGAACAATTCAGCTGTGTGGATCTGCAGTTTTGACTTTGGGGGCAATATCATCATATTCTCCACAGAGAAGCAGAAAAGCTATCAGTGCTTTGTGAGCTTATTTGACCTGCAGGATCCGAGCCAGACTGACAACAATGAGTCCTACCAGAAGATCCCTTGCAATAACTCTAAAATCACTAGTGCCCTGTGGGGACTGCATCGTTGCAGGCCATGAGAGTGGAGAGCTCAACCAGTATAGTGCCAAGCCTGGAGAGGTGTTGGTGAATGTTAAGGAGCACTCCCAGCAGATCAGCAACATCTATTTATCCACGGACATGACCATGTTTGTCACTGCATCCAAAGACAACACAGCCAAGCTTTTTGACTCTACAACTCTTCAACATCAGAAGCCTTTCTGAACAGAACGTCTCATCAGCTCAACTACCCTCTTCCCCAACTATGACCATGTTGTGCTGGGCAGTGGTCAGGAAGCCACGGATGTAACCACAACCTTCACCAGGTTTGGCAAGTTTGAGTCCAGGTTCTTCCATTTGGCCTTTGAAGAAGAGTTCAGAAGAGTCAAGGGGCACTTTGGACCTATCAACAGTGTTGCCTTCCATTCTGATGGCAAGAGCTACAGCAGTGGCAGTGGCAGTGAGGATGGTTATGTTCATAATCTACTACTTCGACCCACAGTATTTTGAATTTTTTTTTCAACCTCTACCTTGTATGAATTCTTATTTTTTTATTTTTCTTTTTTATTATATTTAAGTTCTGGGATACATGTGCAGAACGTGCATGCTTGTTACATAGGTACACATGTGCCGTGGTGGTTTGCGGCACCCATCAACCAATCATCTACAGTTGGTATTTCTTCTAATGCTATCCCTCCCCTTGCCTCCCACCCCCCAACAGGCTCCGCTGTGTGATATTCCCCTCCCTGTGCCCATATGTTCTCATTGTTCAACTCCCACTTATGAGTGAGAACATGTAATATTTGGTTTTCTGTGAATGATATTATGTCCTTTGCAGGGACATGAATGAAACACTTTGAATTTGAGTTTTAGGCGTAAGAAGCTGGATCTCTATCTAGGCCACGAAATCTTCTCACATAATGTTTTGAACTCTGAGAAATAAATTTGTTTGGTAATTAAAAAAAATAGAGTCAAAGAAAAAATTAATAAGAATTTCATGATAATCACAGCAGAGCACTAAACCAAGCACAGAACGCTTCTGAGTGCAGAGGCGAATGATAGGCCCATGAAGCCGGTCCGGTTATAGGTTGCTTTGGAAGAAAACAGAGGAAGTCATTGCCATATACACTTGCCATAGTATTGCAGAGTACTTCCTTATCAAGACCTAGCTTCTTTTTTGGCCAATCAAAATCTGATTTCCAGATCTGAGATTTGGCTCAGGTCCAGAAACTATTGTGACATTCTATTGAGATAGCTGCCCTCATGCTCCAGGTCACTCATCCTTAAATATATTTTATTATTACAATTGATAAACAATCTTTGTTGTCCTACCCCTAGGAACTGAATAGCTTTCTGTGGGCCAGAGTCTCCTGGCTTCCACTTTGATTTTGCTCTTATTACAGCAATTGTGCACACATTCCTGCTGATGGTTAAGCATATCCAGTTAGCCTCTATTATTTTGGGATCTCACTTGTTACCAATGAACCTAGTTCTATGAGAGCATTTTCCACCATCTTCCCTGGCTTACAAAAGATGGCCATCACTGAGTTTTTCAATTATATTGGTGCATTTCTCATCATTGTATTCCAGATCACCGGTAAATCCAGTGTCCTCTGAGATGTCACGTGTAACAGTCATCTGGTGACTTACACAGTATATTCCTCTAGCATGCATCTCTGAACCTTTGGAATCCCTTCTTTTACTACTTTTGATAAGAATTCTGGCACCTCTGTGGCATATAATATGGTCTATCACTTTCTTCACACTGCTGAGAGTCCTCCTAATAACATGATATCATTATTTCCTGGCTCTTTGTTAGGGTGTGAAATTTTACATTGTAGAAGACTTTCCCAATATTAATAAACTATTTTTTTATAAATCCTCCTTGATTCAGTACTCTCAGGATCCAATCCCATGCATCCTCTATCGCAGCCTACTGATGTATGTTGCTGATATATGTTCTATACTGATATATGCTCTGTAGCTCCTCTGAGGTTGGTCTTTTTCTCTTCCAAAAGACCCAGGACTTTCCTTGTCAGGTTATATTGAGACATACTGGTGGCCAGAAGAGCAGATGGCAATAAATTCTGATAGAGTTTGTATTTTAGTGCAAGAAACAATCATTTCCATCATCTTTAAGCATAGGGAGTGCTAGCCTTTAATAGAAGGGAGTGAGCTACCAGTGAAGGTCAAAGACTTAAGTGGAATCTAGTAATTTAAGTTTCAAATGCATCAATGTGAGTGTCCCTATCTCACATTTCAAGATCTCACTCCTTCCTAATCAAGGCCTTCCAGGATTGAAAATTCAACCTGTTCTCAACCTCTTCTGCCTGTAAAGGTTAAAATATGAACTTCATCCTCGCCTTCTTCAACCTTTCAATTATGGGAGATGAGAACGTCTTTATTTGCTGCCAGGACTTTCACACTTCATGTTTCATTGGTGATTAATCAACCTCAGTCTTGCATTGTTTTTCTCCAGCACATTATATACCCCATCCAGTTCTATAATTTCTGAAATCATTTTCTCAGCCTGAAACATTGCACCTGCCAATGAATTTCCTTCCGCCTGTGAAGTTTTAACAATCACATTACTGCAGCATGCCAGGTCTCCCAGCACTTCACATACCATCACGGCTGGATTCCTCATCTGCAGCCCGTCAGAAGGTGAAATAGCTCCAATATCTCCTTTCAGAGTCTGCCTCCTCAAACCCTTTCTGGAGCCAACTCTATAGGTCAGATTCCTAAGAAAACAGACTCTGATGTGGAGATTTGCATTTAGAAAATGCATTAGTGACCACCCTTCAGATCAATATCTAGGAACATTTAAAAAAAAAAAAAAAAAGGCTGAGTGCGGTGGTTCACACCTGTAATCCCAGCACTCTTGGAGGCGAGGCGGGTGGATCACGAGGTCAGGAGATCAACACCATACTGGCTAACACGGTGAAACCCCGTCTGTACTAAAAATACAAAAAAGTTAGCTGGGCGTGGTGGCGGGCGCCTGTAGTCCCAGCTATTCGGGAGACTGAGGCAGGAAAATGGCGTGAACCCGGGAGGCGGAGCTTGCAGTGAGCCGAGATAGTGCCACTGCACTCCAGCATAGGCGACAGAACCAGACTCGTCAAAACAAACAAACAAACAAACCAAAAACAGAAAGTAAGTAAAAGGAAGAAGTTTCTCTCTGACGGAATTCCTACAAAAGCCTCAGCTGACCCCAAGCTGAGGTCTAGTGCTCAAGAGCCTTTCACAGTTGTTTTGCTGTGAGGCAAGGGGTCTAGGCTTTTAAATTCCTTTATTGATCGTTTACTGGATATGGCCCTTCCTTGGAGAGAAGTCGTGACCTTGGGCTAGTCATATCTCTTCAGTCTGTGGAAATTTTCAGCCAGGAGGTACTCAAACATCCTGCAACTGAGGAGAGTATGGTAACAGTCACTAAACTTGCTTCCACAGTTATTTTAGGAAATACCATTAAGAAATGACACAATCCTAACCAATTTTAGTTTTCTTTAGTTCATTTGTTTAGTCATTTATAAAAATGAAATATATAAAGTAAAATGAAAATCTGACATTATTTTCCAAAAACCCTCATTGAGAGAAATGAAATTACTTAGATTTTCACCTATCAGTAATTTTCATATTGCAAAGAATGACAATATCCATATGTTCAAAAGTACTGATGCAAATTCAGTAAGATGCAAAGTCAGTAAGCATCAGCCATAGTCTTCTCACTCACCAAAATAACCTTATTTGCCTCATTTTGCATTTATCTGAATAGCCTCACTGTATCAACTAGTAAATTAGAGTCTCAGGCTTGGCAGGCAAACCAGCTTCGTCTCAAAAAGTCAATTTAGTTTGGCATTTAAAGATAGTGTTTGAACACTTCAGTTTATCTTATTTCTGTTTTGTTTTTAAAAAATACAAAGTATTAGTTTTAACTGATATTCAGCCAGTTTTTACAAAATTTGAATTAAAAATTACTCTTTTGGTATACAGTTGTATGATTTTTCACAATTAAGTAATGTGACTAACACCACCAACAGGAAAGAGAACAGTTCTATCAACTCATGAGTTTTTCTCATAATACCTCTTTCTGTTTAAGCCTTCTGTTCACTCTCTGTCTTTCTCTTTCTCTTTCATTCTCTCTTTTTTTTTTTTTTTAGACAGGATCTCACTCTGTTGCCCAAGCTGGAGTGCAGTGGTGCAATCTCTGCTGACTGCCACCTCTACCTCCTGAGCTCAAGTGATCTTCCCACTTCAGCTTCCCGAGTAGCTGGAACTACAAACATGAGCCATTACACGTGGCTAATTTATTATAATTTTTTTTTGTAGAAATGAGGTCTTACTCTATTGCTCAGGCTTGGCTGGTCTTGAACTCCTGGTCTCAAGTGATCCTCATGCCATGACCTCCCAAAGGTCAAGGGATTACAGATGTGAGCCACCACACCTGGCCTTCTGCTTCCTTTTAATTCTTAGTAAACACTATTTTCCATCCCTACAGTGATTTTTTTCCCCAAAATATCATATATATTGACTCATATAGTATGTCTAGATACTATCAGTTAAGATAAAACAATTGAGATTCATTTATACATAAATAGTTTGTTCCCTTTATTTGCTGAGTAATATTCCATTTTTGGATATATCACCACTTATTTCTCCATCCCCTAGTGATATGGTTTGGACATTTGTCCCCTCCAAATCTCATACTGAAATGTGATTCCCAGTGTAGGAGGCGGGGCCTAGTGGGACGTGTTTGGGTCATGGTGGTGGATCCCTTGTGAATGGGTTGGTGCCCTCCCTGTGAGTTCTTGTTCTACTCCTTCACAAGAGATCTGGTTGTTTAACAGTGTAGCACCACCCCCTCCTCTCTCTTGGTCCTCTTGCCATGTCGCCAGTTCCCCTTCCCCTTCTACCAAAATTGAAAGCTTCCTGAGTTGCTAACCAGAAGCACTTACTGACACCATGCTTCTTGTACAGCCTGCAGAACTATGAGCCAAGTAAACTTCTTTTCTTTATAAAATACCCAGACTCATGTATTCCTTTATAGCGATACAAAGAAAACTAATACACCTAGTTCAGGAACATTGGCTTATTTACAGTTTTTGGTGATTTTGAATAAAGCTCTTAAACAGGATACAAAAATCCATCCTGTATTTATTTTATACATTTCATTTTTATAAATGACCAAACAAATGAACTAAAGAAAACTAGAATTGGTAAGGATTGGATCATTTCCTAATGATGTTCCCTAAAATAGTTTTCGACGCAAATAAAAGGCTTACATTTTATATGGGTAAATATTTAGAAATAGAATTTCTGGGTCATATGGTAAGAATATGTTTTAAGTTTATATTAAATTTTTTAACTATTTTCAAAAGTGTATCTCTATCAGCAATGTATGAAAATTCTATTTGTTACCCAAACCCTTTAGCTCTTGGTTTTGTTAGTCTTGTTGTTTTAGCTGGCAATATATCTATTTAGGTTTACACTATATGCTCTATTTCACCTCAT